TTCTATATACCAGGGGGAAAAAATCCTGTTCTCCTGAGGTCTCATTATTTTGGGGGAAAATCAGTAAAGGAGCAAGTAAATATTTATAGACTGCCAAGTGCCAGTCTACGAAGAAAGATACAGGAGGAAAGGGGGTGAAGAATGCCAGTGTGTGGGTGAGGATGCTTTTTTTTTTCTTTTTATTGAGTTTATCGGTACAATCTAGGTATACAATACAATTACATTCATCATTGGGATTCTGTACCTTTACATAATAGGTCTTGATTCTCATTTTTTCCCCTTGTCCCTGCCCTCCCTTCATCCCCTCCTCCCCTCCCCATTAGAGGATGCTTTTTAAACAGCATTATACATGTCCACACTGTATCACAGACTGTCCTAGACCAGGGGAGCACCTGAGATTGCAGAGCTGGCCTGCACGGAGCCTTCTGGGGTAAGGAGCTGAGCTGGCAATGCCCAAGGTGTCAGTGACAGATTTGCCCTTGACCAGTGTGACAAGGGGCAGACGTGAGCTGGCAGAGTTTACCTACTGGGAAGCACCTACTCTGTATAAATCCAGCTCATTAAGGGATAAGAGAAATCAAAAATATCAATCTGATGTTGACCAATCTGAGAAACACTGAATGAAGTATCTCATAAGAAATAGCACAGAATTTTGTGGATCCCATGACAAGTTCTGTGCCCTTGGAAAACAGAAACAAAGTTAAGGATTGAATTTCCACAAATAAACATGATGTGGGCATCACAGGCACAGCCCTTCCCAGTGCTTTTTACAAACACTGTCACTAAGAGGAAACTATTCAACATCACATCTGACATTCTTTCAGTTGATTTAGAGTCTCCAGATACTGTATTAGAAACAACTAAGAACTTTTTTAGATATTTCTGGAAGCACAATATTTCACTGAACAGATAATGATACTATTCTATAAGTGAATTAAAATTGTACCCAAATGCCTATCTGAATCCTTTTTTATTTTAGGTAAGTAATATATTTTTGTTTAATAGTTAAACCTCTCCGAGTCAGAATTTTCTTTTGTTTGAAGGCAAATCGTATTACTTATACAATTTTCCTTTTTAAAAATACTTGGGCCAGAGGTTGGTTCTGCCATTCAGGATGCACCAAGTCAGGAGTAGAGGGCCCCTTCGGGTGACTGTCCCAGGCAGTTTGGAGGGAGGGAGACACTGTCCCTGAGGCTTTCTCTATTTCATGTAAGGTGAGAACAAGAAAGCCTGTCGTCTGAGACACAGCCAGCTCTCCTCTCAAGGGAAAAGCTGGTCTGAGAACAAGTTGACATTTTAGAAAGACCATGACCCTTCCTGCCTGGGGGCTTCCTCACCTTCTAACTTGTTGTCAGAGATGAGGGTTCTTTACAATCAAAGTCAGTTTTATTCGGGGCTCTGCAGCCTATAGCAGAAGACATCCTAAATGACTCGTAGAGGGTACTGAGGGATTCAGACACTTCATGTAGACAAATTAATAAGTTTAATGTCTTTAAATTCTTTCAGGGTGGTTCAGTACGGAGAGTCTTACAGGCATCCCCACAACTTCTGTCTCAGGTATTTTACTGAGATCAAAGTGAAAGACTCTAAAAGTCAGCAGAGGCAACCCTAGCAGGCCTCAGAAGTCATAAACACTATGATTTTCAGTCCTCCAGGGAGGTGCTGCCTATATTTTTATCTTCAATTTCCCACTCAACTTCTAGTGAATCATTTATTCTACTTCTGTAACATTTCTTCCAGCTAGACCAACTACAGCCTCAAATACTTTCTTGATTCTTCATGCCTCTGGAGCCACTTGCCTATTACTCTACTCCCATTTACAGCAAAACTTCCCAAAGCTGTTGTCTGAAACATTCTCCACGTCCCTATTTCTTATTCTTGTATTCACCCTTTCAAATTCTTCTGCCTCGTTGAAATAACTTTTATCAAGGCCATACATGTCTTCCCTTTTGTCAAAGCCAATGACCACTTCTATGTCCTCCTCAGACTCAACCTCCTACTTTCTTCTTCAAATAGTTTATCCTCTAGGCTTTTCTCATGCCACAAACTTCTGTCTGTCTTCCTAACCCACTGATTATTGATGGATTCATAGCTTTGGGTCTGGTGCTTTCTCTTCCCAACTCCAAAGTGAAGGAGTGCTCCCACTACTCCATCATAGGCCCTCTTCTCTCCCTCACCTCAGCTTTCCTCCAATGTGAGCTTTTCAGTCTCCCGTTTAAAACCATCATCTACATTTTCATCATTTCTGGTTTCATACTCCGTTGAGATCATGGCTTACATATGAGATATCTTTTGCCTGCTTCAAGGCATCTATAGTTTATGGTGGCCACATAAATTCAGATTTTTGCTTCTCCAAATTGCTCCCTCATCTTCCTCTTCTTGGAGAAGAGCACCAGGATATACCTATTGTGGAAGCCTCCTTGATTGATCTATATTGTGTTGGTCTTGTCATCAAAATACAATCTCAATTCACCACCTGCCTGTTGTTGCCCATCCTCTCCCAAGCAGACCACCTCACTGCACAGCCTTTCCACTGTTCATGCTGCTTCTGTTCTTTCTATTTGCACAGGCACTGAGCTGTATCCCCAGCACCTTCGCCACCCCTTTTGGAGACAGTGGCAGGCTAGAATGAAGCTTTCAATCCTTCTGCCTCAGCCTCCCAGATTCTGGGATCACAGGCATGAGCCACCATCCTTCAACTCCTTAATCCATATAGAAGTTAGAATGATCTTTAAAAAAATATAAATCAGATCATTTTATTCCTCTTATTGAAACATAACAATTGCTTTCCATACCACTTGGGAGTACTAGTCAGATTTTTTGTTGTGGCCTAAAAGGCTATACATAAGGAAGTTTTCAGCCTATGTTTCTGGCATCTCCCTTTACTTTCCTCCTTACACAGATATCCTATTCTAGATACCGTGTCATTTTTTTCCCTATTTCAGGAACAGCGGCCTTATTCCCACCATTGTATCCTTGTACTTGCTGTTCTTCCTGCTTTGCACATCATCTCTTTACACACCTGGACCTCCGTATCACTCAGGTCTCAGGTTAAACATCATTTTCCACAAGGACCTTTTGTGACCTTCATTCACTCTAAAGTGGAAGGTCATGGTCACATGTCCTCAGTCATCCCTTTCAGGCTTATGATTGGCCTTATCTTCATCGTAGGGCTTATTTCTATAGTAAATAAGTTTGTTCACTTAACTGACCATCGTCTGTCTTCCCTTGTCCACTGGTTCACTCGGCATTTAGAAGAGAATCTGTCTTCCAGTATGCACTCACTTAATATTAAAGCATGAAATTATAGTTCACACCTTTATTGTTTTTTTGCCTTGACTTATCCAGTGACTTCCTCTCTGGTTTCTCCGACACACTCCCAGTACCAAACTGCATCTGGAGTGATGTTTTTAATCTAAGGTCACCCATGAATTTTCTCCTGTGTACCTTAGTCACTCTTCTTGAAGCTGAGCCACAGTATTTGACAACCACAACTGATGGTGTTTAGAGGATTCAGTTCATAATTGGCAGGCTCCAAGGCAGGAAGGGCCTGGCGGGAGGGCCTGGCAGAGGCAAGCTGCTCAAGTCATGGTGGCCAAGAAGCAGCAAGAGAAGGGAGGAGTCAGAGGAGGAGACACACCTTTCCAGATCGTGCCCCTAACGATCAACCTCTAACCAGGCCCTACCTCCTAATGGCTCATTTCCCTCTGAACTCATCTGTGGATCAATCCACTGATGCAGACATTGCCTCATGATCCGTTCACCTCCTAAAAGCCCCACCTCTGAGCACATGAAAATTTGGGGACATTCTAGATCTAAACCATAACAGTAGCTCTCAGTTTTCCCTTCCTTCCTTCTCTGACATCTGTCCTATGCCATGGCTACAAAGAACCACTGCAGCCATGCGCTATGCCTTCCTGTCTCCTTGCTACATGGCCCTCTTTCTCTCCATGTATCAGATAAGCTCACTCTTCAAAATCAGTCTTGTAGTTCCTCCTGACCAAACCTGATTTAGGAATGCTACTGTTTCTAGTACATCCCTCCATTGTTGTTTTTCTCAGACTATATATTTGTTCATACGTGATTAGAGTACCAGACTTATTAAAGACCTGATGTTTCTTAATCACTTTTAGGTCAGCAACTGGCACTCAATAAATATGTTAAATTAACCAAATTCATTTGATCCTGTGCCCTCTAAAAAACGCACACACATTAACAATATCCCAAGGAAAGAAGAAAAAAAGAATATCTGGTCCATGTCATAAAAATAATATTAAAATAACACTAGCCATTTCAGTAATTATGCTAACTCAGCTATGCATTTTATATGTATTCTCTGTTTTTTAATTGATTAAGTTTATTGGTACATTTTAGATATACAAAAAGACCATATTCATACAGGTAATTTGTACCTGTACATGATATATCTTGACTGGCTTTTTTATCCCATTCCCCTGCACTCCCTTTGATCCCTCTTCCCCTCCTTATTTACAAAAGCTTTGCCAAGTGATGATAGAGGCCTAGAGCCCTAGAAAGTTAAATAACTTACCAGAAGTCACAAAGCTGGTGATCCCAACATTGGATGTCGAACACAATCCTTCTAGAGTTCCAAGGCCTACCTACCACATACATCTCCTCTCCTGGTTATTCGTATGGAAAGTACTGATCACCATGGGATGGAAGCACTCCATGGGGCCTGCTCCACTTATAAGAACCATGCACCTTCTTTCTCCCCAACAACCACCCAGACTCTGCAGAGACACAGGAAGCTGGAGACAAGAGCTCCTGGGGAAGAAAGGGAGAAGGAGCCACCTCAGGCTCAGTCTCTGCTCTCCCTTCTCACAGGCCTTGTCATCCTCCTACTCAGCTGAGCTGAGCTGAGCGCATTTCCTGTTTCTTTTCACTGTAAGAACACTGGTAAGAAATCACCATTAGCTTTAACAGGTCAAATTCCTTCAGGAATCAATGTTCCTAGACTTGAAATCAATGCAAGTGCCTACCTTGGGCATGGAGACCACCAAATGTCCTGTCGTCTGTGATCTTTTAGCAGAGCTGCTGTCGGGCTTGACTTCTGCAGGAAGGACTAGCTGAAAGGGCTGAAAACGAGTAGAAGCTATTGAGCAATGGGCATGTTTCACGGCACAGTCACTTCAGGAGATCTTTTCATCACAAATTCAAGATGCACTGTTCAGTTAAGACATGCACTTAGACATATTAGGAAAAATAAGATACATGCTATGCTTGAAATCCATGAACCATTTGACCCATTTTAATATATAACCTAAAGAATAATTACTGACTACAAACAGTGGAACACTAATAAGTCTGTTGATGGCTGAAAAGCAATTTACAGATGAGACATAGCATTTCCATTTTAATGTCTTTATGTTAACCCATATGAATGCTGACAATCAGCAAAAACTACTATTTAGAAATGACAAGATTGCAGTGACCATGAATGAAGTCACTGCCCATTTAGAGTGAGAATACTATGTAACTTTATGCATAGGCCACCACCTATAGGATCATGTTAAGGCCTTGAAAAAGCATAACCCAGCAGACACGTGTCTGAAGTATTCATTTTCTCAAGCAACATAATCATCAGCTGCTTCCCCTGCCACCCCGCACACGACTGCTGTTATAAAAACCATCTGCCTAAAAAGCAGCAGTCTGAGTTTTCTCTTTTTTCTGTTTTACTAACAGTTTCTAAAAAATGTTAAAGCAACACAGCTTAGTCTAAGCTTTAGCTCTACGAATTATTGTAGTCTACAGGGTTACACTCACCTTTCCTTTCACCATTACTCGTACATACATTGGCTGCACGTCAACCTCAATTAAAGAGGTATCCATGTACCTTCAAAATTAAACAGACCACATCCTAAAGGCTTCAAAAATAGTAAGTTCAAAAATGTACAGTTACAAATTCACATTTACAGAACCATTTCAAATGAAGAACATGTAAAATTTTCATACTAAGCAGGTTTTTAAAAATCAGTCTTACATTAATCCCCAGTCCAGAGGAAATTCAATGTATCAGCAGTTACACTTTTAGGCCTACCAGTACACTTGGCATTGATTGCCCCCAACCCAAAAATATCTAAGGTCTGAAACACCAAAGGTTTGCAAAAAACAGCTTGCTATATTCTATCATGAATATTTTATTTTAAGCCCCTAGGACACGAATAGCCTGGAATGCTGAGTCTACTACACTTGGGACCTGCAGCCTCCAGCTCCTGCCTCCTCAATGCTCTTGGGACCCAGCAGCTGCTCGGCAGCTGTGCTGGGACCACCTCTCCTGGGAGAGGAGCTCACTTCTCCCACCTCACTCCCCCAGAGTCACATCCTGCTGAATAGGCAGAGCCTTCTTTTGATGTCAGTGACCCCAAGGTCAGGATCTCCTCATCTTGTGAGTGAATGAGAGACTGGAGTTCACGTTACTCCTTAAAATAAGAAGTTTCTGTTTATTTATCTTAAAACGTTGACCCTGAACATTAGAAAATCCAGCAATGATAAGAAAACCACCAACATTAAGGGAGAGAGGGAAGGGAAGGGGTCACAGGTCCAGGATTTAGAATCTCACAGACTTGTGAGGAATCTACTCCACTACTTTCTCCTTTATTACCCTATGCCATAATTACCTTCTGAGCCTCAGTTTCCTTATCAGTACAGTGAGAATATGAGTGTGCCCTAAGATCACCATAAGAGCACACACCTACAGCCCAGTACATAGTTAATATTAATAAACTGGTGTTAGGTTATTTAATAAAATTAAAATAAAAATAAATACAAATGTTCTTACAACATAATATGTAAATATTTACAATTTTAATGGAGTACATATTCCTTTCCTTGCTTAGGTTCTCTTAACGTATTCATTTGTTCCTCCTTGCAAGATCTTTCTTTGCCTGAAACAATCCTTTGCCAGTTTGGTGTACAGCAAGCTACTTATCACCCTTCCCTCTTCATTGCTCATGCTGCCAAAATTTCCTGACCACCCCACAGCACCAAGCACCAAACCCCCACCCGCTCTGCACACACACTGTCACTGTCCTTCACAGCCCCTCCGCCTCTTTAATAATGACTCATTTGATGCCTGGCAGTCTGCAGTCTCCATCCTCTTCCCACCCCCTGCCCTGCCATGGGCTGCCCTGCGGTGGGTGAGCCATGGCTACACTGGAATGCGCTCATGACCATCGCCCCATGCCCAGCACCCAGTAAGCATTCTATAGGTATTTGATTAATAAAGGCAGAAAACATATATGAATGAATGCATCTCATTTCTCGTATGTTCTCATGAGTCAACAAGGAGGTTTAATGTGATTCATCAGGCAGAATGATGGGAATAGAAGGTTTGTACTACACAGACAGGGAGAAAGATCACTCTTTAAAATCCACATACATGCGGATGGGGAAAATTTCTATGTGAAAAGGAAGTAACCAACAGAGTTAAGGGGGAAATTTAAACTCCAGAAGTAGGGCTTCAAAGTAGAAAGTGCTGGGAAGAAAATTAGAGAATAGCAGGCTGGAGAAAGGCTTTGAAAAGCCAAGCAGAATGATGTTGTTTTTACTTTTTTCCTTTGCTCTTTTAATCATTAGCAATAGATAAAATCCAAACACGCCTCTGGTTTCAAACTTTGGAATTGGATTGGAAAAACCTTAAATTCTCAAACCAAATTAAAGGAAAATGTCCACCTAGGGAGTAAACAAGGACCTAGTAGGTCAGCACAACCATTTTCCTTGTAAAAGGACAGTGACCTCAGGGGAAGGACAAGATATTCCTCAAAAGACCCAGTTACTCTTACAAATGTAACTTGAGACCTCATTCGGTCCAACTGCCATTGGGGGACTTGCCCACCTTCATGCTTGAAGGTGTAGCTTTCTCCTTCTCTGACAATCGATCATTTTGCAATAAACTCACCTGTAGGTGAGTTATAGGTGGCCTTTGTATCTAATCTGAAATCTTTTGCAAAAGACACAAAGAACTGGGGTGAACTGCTAATTCCTCATGGTGTTAGGACCACCCAGTGTTAGGACCCAGCTTCCCACTGGGAAAAGGACATAAAAGAATAAAGTAATGAATGTTTAACTGAAAACAACATAAATACTGATTGTTGATCTGCAGGAGCAGAGGCCATGAAGGGAAAGAGCTGGAAACTCAGTAAAGACGGGTTACAGGTAGCAAATGAATACAAGGAGTGGGAGATAGCTTGGCATAAAGAGGAAGGGATCAGGGTAAGACTATCCCATCCCTACCAGCTAAAGCTGGAAACAAAAATGCCCATCAGTTGGGGGACAGTAACATCATGTGGTACATCTGTACAGTGGAGTATCAGCAAGACAAAAAAAGGATGGAAATTGTGACAGACTCTAAAACTCAGCTAAGCCTTCAAGAGATAAAGTGAGGCAAACTGGGTAAATTCAGATAACTTCCAGGAGGAAGGATGGAAGGTTTCACAGGCTGAGGGTTGAGTATCAAAGCCATGGAGTTGCAGGGAGAAGACAGCAGCAAGAAGGCATCTTGCCACTCCTGTCCCTTGGAATAGGGTGTGGGCGGGAGTCAGGCATGAGGTGGGAGGGTGCAGGGCATGCATGGCCCTGGTGACTCCAGGTCTCCAGGATGAGATAAGGGAAAGAGGCTGCTTATTATGTCAAAGCATTCTAGAAAAATAAAGAGGACTACAAAAATAACATGGCAGTCATAAGAACAGAGAGGGTCCCAGCCAAACCAACACTGAAATCAGCAAAGCTCTGAGAATTATTGAAACTCCACATTCCACATTCCAGTGAATACAGCCACAGCATTGTACATTCATGAATTTCTCCTTTCAATTTCATGCTTTTAAAAATCACAGTAGGTTCTCTGTTCCAAAAAAACATGAGACTTCACTTAACCAAATGGCAAAGCCAAATTACATTTCCAAGTTTTTCAGAACTCAAAAGATTGTTATTAAGAATAAAAAACTGGTGGATAACAAATACAAATGTATAATAAAATGTCTTTACCTATAGACAGCCAGGTCGAGGATGATCTGGTTATGTTTTTCATCATCTTTCAGAAGGAAGTCAAGCCTAAATATAATATTTGGGAGGAAAAGACATCTTTACTGTACACATAACCTCATCACACAATCAAAAATAAACTTGGTAATAATTGTCTTGAATTACAAACTTATTTTGGTAGTTGTACAATAAAATAACTATGTTAATTTTAAAATCTCAATGAAAACATATCAATAGATTACTGAAGAGACAACTCACAGAGTGGAAAACAATTTTACCAGCTATTCAGATAAAGGACTATTATCTAGAATATATAAAGAACTAAAAAAAAAAATCAAAACCCTCAAATTTAAAGATTCAATGCAAAAATGGGCACTTGAAATAAAAATACACTTCACAGATAAAGAATTTGAAACAGCAAATAAATATATGAAAAAATGTTCAGCATCACTGGTCATTCGAGAGATGCAGATGAAAACAACACTGAGATTTCACCTCACCCCAGAAAGAACGGTTGCTATCAAAAAATCAACCAGTAACATATGCTGGTGGGGCTGTGGGGAGAAAGGAACCCTTCTCCACTGCTGGTGGGAGTGCAGACAGACTGGTAGAACCACTGTGGACATCAGTGCGGAGACTCCTCACAGAACTAAAACTTCTTGGTATTTTCCCTAAAGAATTAAAAGCATCACACTACAGCAATATATAGGCACACTCATGTGTATAGCAACAATAGCTAAATCTTGGAAACAGCCCAAATGCCCATCAACTGATGAGCAGATAAAGATGTGGGTTTTTTTTATCCAGTGGAGTACTACTCTACCATAAAGAAGGATGAGGTTGAAACATTTCAAGCTAAATGGATGCACCTTGAGACCATACTCTTAAGTGAAATAAATCAGACACATATGTTTAAATATCACATTGTTCCTCTGGTGTGAGAAACTGAATGTGGAAATAAGGACTGAGATGTATAATGGATGCTGGGAAATGGGAAGAAAGTGTTCAAATGGGAAGAGGAACAAGGGAGGAGGGAGAGACAAAGGAAGGAAGTGACAAGAAAAAACGTGAAAATAGAAGGAAAAAATGGATACAAAGCATTTGTACATAGGGAGGGGAGGGACTTGGAGGGAATGGGATAAAATAATTTATTAAAAAAACAAAAATATTACTTATGTTTGCATTGTTTAAATATGAGAATCTTAAGGTCAAGTTTATAAAAACAATTAACTTCGGTGCAGAGATGGAGACATCTGGTGGCTAAAGTTTTCTTTTCCATTTCATTTGAGTTCACCAAAAGCAAATGAAACACTGGAGTCTATGGATATCTAAATATACTTGCATCTCCTTTAGCCGGTACCCTTATTCTTAAAAAATGTAAACAGTTCTGTCTTTGTTCTCTTTCCTGGCCACCTTTTTCCTTTTCCTTTCATTGCTGACCTTTTCATCGCCCTGGGGAAGGCTAAAGCCCCCAGGGATTTTATTAAATTCACTTTAGAGAGGAAGAAACAGGTTGACAGAGGCAGACATAGCCAGGTAAGAGTCCAGGGAAGCCTGAAGAGGCAGCATTTGAAATCCTGTGTCTTTCAGTGGTATCACGGAGCTGAGTCCCAAGCGTAGTTTGCCTCCTGTCCATATATATTCATAATTTTTTGGTCTATTTTCTTTTGAGCACCTCACTTATTGTGCACTTACTGTGCTAATGTTGCTGTGCAAATAATATTAAAGAGTATCTATTGAACTGCAAAGCTGGCTATGGAGGTAGCCCCTGGCAGTAGTTCTGCTGTGGCAGGCACTCTCATCACCTAGCCATGCAGCGCTTCTTATCAGTCTCAAAAGACCCATGCATTCTTGACCTCATCTTGGGAGCCTTTTTCTGTGCTGTCTCCCCTGCTTTGATTGCTTATTCCCCAATTCGGCCAGACTAAACTCTCTTTTCGTGTATCACTGAAAGTTGATTTCAGAGATGTTTCCTCTGGCAGAGATTCCTATTCAGGCCCACCTTCGGCTTGCCCTTTACCCTTGGAGATAGAGCCTCTCTACATCGCTATGAAGAAGAAAGACTGTATTTTCCAGCCTCCCTTGCACTTGAGTGAGGACATCTGATTTACTTTTGTGAGGGAAAGTATTGTGTAGTGCTTTCCAGAATTTTCCTTATGAAAGAGAGGGACTGCCTTTCCTGCCTTCCTTCTTAACTCAGCAAAGGTTGTAGGAAGGCAACCGTTGAACCATGGAGACTATTTAACAAGCTATCACAATTGTCTAGGCAAGAGGAAATACTGTTTTGTGCTAAGGTTATGATGATAGAGTTACCGGGAAGTGGTTGGAGGCTACTGGTATAGAAGGGAGCTGGTAAAATGAGATAGAGAAGAATCAAGGAGGAACTGAAGGGTTTTGTTCTCAGAACATGAGTGGATGCTTGTTACTGTGATGGAGAACAGTGGGAGAAAAGCACATCCTGGTAGAGAGGGGGTTGGCTAGAAATCACAAATTTTTCTTTAGCCATCATTTGTGTTTTATTTCAACACAGTGAGATCACATAGCCAGTAGAATGCTCAAATCTTGTGCTCAGGGAAGCAGCTAGATTTGGTTATGAGCAATACAAAGACAGTGTTCAAAGATGTGGGATTTGATGAGATCCTCTGAGAGTGATGACTATTCTCCCGAACACACAGGAGACAAAACAGAAAGGACCTAGTCAATCATAAGAGGAGTAGTAGGAAGGAAAAGAAAAATCAGAAGCAAAGGCAAGCCACTGGTTTAAAAAGGAACATAATGCTCAATTAGACCAGTTTTACTAGGTCAAGCAAGATGGGGACTCAATTTTGAACACTGACCATAGAAATGATACGACGAGAGAAATTTCTAGACCATAAAATGCCCACAGTGGCTTCAAGAAGAAATGTGAAGCAAGAAATTGGAGACTGAGTATGGACAACACTAAGGGGAGCACAGAAGTAGACTGATGGCTGGACAGGACGCTGGGGAAAGTGAGACCTTGGCTTTGTTCTGTTTTAAGGCAGAAGTTTCTAAAATGTGTGTGCCTGCTAGTGTGATTGGTCCAGTAGGGTGGAGAGGACTGATACAGAAGACCAGGGGTCATTGAGGTCCGAGTCCTTGGCAGGAAGGGGGCAGGGATATGAGCACCAACAGAGACTGGATGACAAAAGCAAGCTTGTCTCGGAGCAGGAGAGGAGAATATGGAACACAGGCTCAGACATGCTGGTAAACTGGTGCTGGGAGGAGACAATTTTTTATTGCTTCTGTTTCCTCAAAAAAATAAGAAATAAAGCCCACAGTTAAGACTGTGGAAGTATAAGATGGTACTAGAGGTAAGTGGAAAGGAAGAGGTGTGGGAGCATCATGCAGGAGGGTGGAGGGTTCACTGTCCAAGAAAATGCAAAGACAGCAGAGTCCATCAAGACCTGTGGCCATGCACTTAAGACCAGCGGGCAGAGGCGAAGAGTTTCCTCCAGCCACTGTGAGTGGACCCAGGAGTGGATAGTGTGCTAGATTAAGCAGTGTGAGGCTTGGTGAGGTGAGGATAACAGAAGGAGAGGATAAGGGAGCTGAAGAAGTGACCTAGACTGATATCTTTTTACATTTAAGGTAAATAGCACAGTTACATTCATCATTGGGACTTTGTACCTTTACATGATGTACTTTGGTTCTTATTTTTTCCCAATTCCTAGACTGATTTCTGTGACGAACCCTAATACCAAGGCAGCAGGAGGGCTGGGGAAATAAGGAAAATGGTACAGACCCCTGTGTAAATGGGGCCAGCGACTGTTGAGGAACAGGGGGTTGCCAACAATGTAAGAGATGGTGCTCGATGAGGTGAAGAAGACTGATGTGGAGGAGACATCTAAGAAGGAAGCTGAGGTGGGAAGTAGGTGGTTGGAGAACTGAGCAGACAGGCTTCCAGTGACATGTGATGAGGTAGCCACAGCTGACAGTGGGAGGAGAGGCCCAGACAGGGGTCTCGGGGCTGGGGTGAGTGGACAGCGTAGAGGGCTGAGGACTTCTTGGGTTAACCTGACAACCACAGGAAGAGGGGGAAGAGGAATTGTATCAAAATGGCCTGTGCCCTGCAAAGCCATGAAAGTGAGGGCCGGGGAGAAGGGGCCCTGAGGGTGGCGGTGGGAGAACCTCCCTGTAGCTTACACGGTGAGAAGAGGAGGGCAGTGGAAGTGGCTCAACTTCAGTTAGCAGAAGGAGAAGACGGTACACGGGGAGGGAAGGTTGGGGACTTGGGCTTTGCTGATGAGCCCTAACCTCCAGAGGGCGCAGGAGAAGGTAGGGAAGGGAGACAGAGTGAGTGGGGTAGAGCCAGGCAGGAATAAGATTCCGGAGGAGGTAGATGCACTAGGAGGGTGACCAGGGCGTGAAGGGAGTAGGCAGTAGTAGTGGGAGGTGGGGAGTAATTCATTCTTCGTAGGGTCTTCCTAAGTGAATTGATTTTAGAGGCAGAGAGGGTTGTCAGAGTGATGGGAGGAGCAGTGGTTTTACCAGGGTTGCATGGAGCTCTGGGGTCCCTCGTGCCCAGTCTAAGCGGAAGAGAAGGTCTTACTGCTGGATTTTAAGGTCCACAAAGATAACTCCTGCAGCAATCACTGCTGAGCACCCAGGGCCTAGCCTAAGGTCTGCTGCTCATCCTGTCTGCTGGGTACAGAAGTGCGGCGGGGGAGAGGGAGATGGCAGAGGCGATCCGGAAATCCCTAGAACTAGGCACACATGGGCAAGACCAACATGATAGTTATGCAGCCTTGGGCAGGTCACTTCAGCTCTCAAACCTGAGTTTGGGACCTGTGAGAGAGAAGTCCTGACTATAGCTCACGACGGCTGGGAAGATGAATGATTCTAGACAGTACCCTTATCGTCAGCATGGTAATAACACAGCAAATGAAATGATGGAAGGAACAAATGAGATTTCACCCATAGGCTTGTTTGTCTCTATTTAGGTTACAGAAGGCCTTTTTTGGCCGCTTTCTAGTTTTTAACTTTAAGGCAAATAGAGTAGATCAGATGTTATTAGACTTGAAGACTTCCAGTTTGAATATGTTTTTTCTCTCTTTAACTTCATTGAGGTATTTATATCAATTTATTTCCCTAGTTTTTGAATGCTTAGAAGATATGTTCCAGAATATAGTGTAGATGGTTAGAAGATATATCAGAATTCTCAGCCAGCTTGTTCATGGCAGAATTTTAAAAATTCATAAACACAACAATAATGCAGTGGTAATTTTCAAGCACAAAATTGTATGTGGTCCAAACTTTCATGGACTACATAAATAACTATGATTCCAGATGTCATAGATACCAAGGGAATTATGCATTTGAAAACATAATAGATGTCTAACTTTTCAATATGCACAAAATGACACTACTATCAGACTCATGTGCCTCATTAAGAGCAGTCAAATAGTCTTTGCAGAGCAGGTGTGTCACTGAGCCTTCTGGTCCCCCACCTCACCTACTTGGGCTCATTGACATTCAGGGCCTTCCCGGATTCAGTGACCAAAGTCCGAGGTGGCTTCACGTCCTTCTTTTTTTCACTGAAGATTGGGGGTAGGTGGGAACAAGAGGCAATGGGGGAGGAGAAAATAAAAAAGAATACAGAAGTAATCAATACAGTTTTGTGATGGTTTCTAGAAAAATTTATCAAACATTTGTGAATACATAAGCAATTCACTTATAAGTCATTCCTTTCATTTTATACTGGGGATCAATCAAGCCAGATTTTTTTATATAGTTCTATTTCGGTAAAGCAAAAATGTAACCAAGATAATTTGGATGGTAGAAGAATATTCCTTTTGAGGAAATACCTATGAATACTCATGAAATATTTGTCTTTTTTATTGAGGTTATTGGTACAATCTAGGTATACAAATACAATTACATTCATCACTGGGATTCTGTACCTTTACATAATAGGTCTTGATTCTCATTTTTTCCCTTGTCCCTGCCCTGCCTTCACCCCCTCCTCCCCTCCCCATTTACAAGCACTTTATTTCCATTTTTTCAGTTTCTCATATTTTTGTCCTCTTCCTAATTACCTTTCCCCCACCCTTCCCACTTTCCTTACACCTTTAGCCCTTTACTTCCTATTTCACATTATTAATTGTCTCATTAGGATCCTGTGTACTATTATAGTTTTTCACACCAAAGAAACTATTCGGTATTTCAGTTAAAGAAATCTC